GAAACTCAACATCGCAGGACTAAACAACCACAAACTCAAAACCACTCTTACAGACTGGCTTCTAAAAATGGATTATAACAAAACTGAACAACTACTGACATACATTGCGTAACATACACACAAACATCACCATATACAAGCACATAACTCATATACGAAAAAAAACAAAATCACACACATACTTTTATACAAACACCCATACTAACACACACTCACCTATACACATGCCCACTCAATAGCAATTGGTCCACTTATGTAATACTCGTATCATTTATTTACCCCTTGCATACAGCGACCACGTTCACTTGCACACACAAAAATTGTAATTTGTAATAGATAGTTGTAATTTATAATACACGACTGAAAACTGCAACCCAAAATACAAGCCTTCGCTTAGTTTGGGAGACAGTATCAGTACTTTTTTTTTTTTTTCCGTGCGGAAATCCCCTCGGATACCACCTGTCGGTGGCATGTCGGACTCGAACCGACTAAAACCGCACGCCTTCGCCGGGTACTAATAGCCGGGGAACCAGGTATACCCTAGAAAGGAAGGCCCTGGTGCCCCGACATACCTCGGGTCATCTACAGACGAGTAGACGACCCCCGCCCCGTGTGGGAACCCCATGTTCCCTGTGCTCCCTGGAAGCGAGCGCGCTTCGCAACGCGCTCGCTCGCCGCCACCCCGGCCTGCTTCTGCTAGGGTGACAGATGGCCTCACCTGTCACCCCCAGGCCTGCGCTTATGGAGGACGGAGGTCGTTCTGCGACCTCCGGCGCCTGAGTCGCCTGCGCTGCCTGGCCCGTGCCCGGGCCTGGCGGGCCGGGAGAGTTCTAAACCTCTCCCGGTCCCGCTCCGCCGTCTCCTTCGCGAGCATAACTTGCTCGCAGAAGGAGACGGCAGAGTTCCACGCACTCTCGCTCCGCACGATAGCCGCAATCAGGCTATCGAGCGAGAGAACTCCCACTCCGATGGCCGCCACGAGGTCTCGCCTCTGCTCAACCCACGCCGGGCACTCTGCCAGCGTGTGGAGAGCCGTGTCCACGGTCTGGCCATCGCAGTGGTGGCACTCAGGCGTTGGCTCCTTGCGGATCAGACACAGGTGATCTCCGAAACATCCCTTCCCAGTGATCACCTGCGTCAATCGGTATGAGAGGGTCCCGTGACGCCTCTCGAGCCAATCCTCCATAACGGGTCTTACCGCCGCAATGACGGCGTGCCCAAGTATCAGTACCTAAAGCACAATACATTTAATTGTGTCAAATTATAAGTGTGAACCCTTGTGAACTGTATAATTTTTGTGACAATAAAGATTACTATTGTTATTAATAATTATCGTAGTAAAAGTTTAGTCAAAATTCAGTTCCGATCAACTCTCGATCTCAAAACTGTCACAAAAGGTATTTGTAACCACAATGTGTTTTTATTCGTAATCAAAATGTACTCGAATTTATATACTGATCGAGGCACGCAAAACGTCGCGCATTTTTAAGTGAATTTGAACGTCTATAGCAATACCTAGTAGTGTGGTTGTAACTATCAACCGTTCATTTATATTTATGTATTTTCTTGTCAACTGTCTAACTACATCAAGCACAATGTTCAGTCGCATATACTGATAATTTCAAGTGATATCAAACGAGACTCATGCATTTTAATGAGAAGCTCTATTTGGATTCAACGGGTAAACAAATATACCTGGCTGTCGACCGTCTAGGCCAGACTTTGTAAAAACTGTAACTCTTAGAGAATATTTTAAAAGAACTTTAAAATAAATAACCTTTTTATTTTCGCATAAAAATTCCATCATGTTTTTATGATAGAACTAAGTCGGCAACGGTCACTGGATAATAACTTAGAGAATATTATTTATGGTTGAGGATTTTTTAGACGTTTATGCTGATGATTTAAATACCGCCTAAAAAAAACTCGCGATGAAAACAAAGACGATGCTGGTGCAGACTTCAATTTTCCCAATCATCGACTATGGTGATGGTGTGTAACCTCGGCCTGAATCACCTGAAAGACGTGCTCAATAAATTAGACTAACTTCTCAAGAATTGCATTCGGTTCATATTCAAATATGCGCATTTTATTTTAATGATGTAATGCATCTTGTTAGCAAAAACAATAAACACAGGACACAGATTTTAGTCTCTGCCATTACCGGACGAGAATGAGCGGTGAGTGTAAATTTGTATATAGGTATAGTCAGATAGTTTAATAGATAGTTATATTGGGGCTATCTGCTAAGTGTAATGTTCTCTTGATGACGAAGAAAACAATTTCATTAATGATTGGTATTGGTGGCTATTGGTGGTTATAAATTCCCACCTATACATAGGCATGTCGTGTTATTTTCATTTCATTTAATTAATTAGCCGAAACATAGGTGGTTACAGATGTCAATTACAATTTTATAAACTAAGACATGCTATGACCCGCCGATAGGCATACAAAATGTTCTAAAAGTAAATAATTATTCAAATGAAACATCATTATTATCCATCCATGTAAGTATAATTTGAAGTCATCAAAAAGGTCATGTTAAATTAAACAATAACAAAAGACAATTCAAATGTTTTTATTTATATTACATAAAAACTTACAGGTTACTTAATTTTTATTTCTTATAATTAAATTAATTAAGCTTCTGTAGGTGAACTAGGTGGAGCCTGTATTTCGACTATCAGCGCCAACTCCCCAATGTACAATATTTTAGCCTTTATATTTTGTACTTATGCTATATAATATCAAAATCAGTCTTCCATAACCATAACCTACCATAACATAAATTTCGAGAATTTTATTAATTTTATTATATAATTAGCGAGAAGTCAGAAAAAAATCTTACACACAAACACACACATACTTTTTTACATTTCTTAAACAACTGGGGATTATAGGCTATTGGTCATTTTGTTGTGTTGTAGGAATTTAATCTTCAAAACATACAATTGTGTTACGGTTAGAACTTCGCACAGTTGATAAGACGCAGCAGTTGGATAGAATTTGGGTTTATTTTTGCAACTGGATTTACAGTCTAGCCTCCTTTTTTTTCCTGTGCGGAAATCCCCTCGGATACCACCTACCGGTGGCTATGTCGGACTCGAAACGACTAAAAACGGCAACACGCGCGCACTTGCGCGCGCGCTCCTCTCCCGGTCCCGCTTCGCCATCTCCTTCGCAAGCATAACTTGCTCGCAGAAGGAGACGGCGGAGTTCGACGCACTCTCGCTCCGTACCATGGCGGCATGGCGTACTACCGAGCGAGAGGACTCCCACTCCGATGGCCACCACGAGGTCACGCTTCTGCTTCACCCACGCTGGGCATTCTGCAATGTGGAGGGCCGTGTCCACGGTCCGGCCATCGCAGTGGTGGCACTCAGGCGTTGGCTCCTTTTGTTGGATTAGACACAGTTGATCTCCCGGTTCTTTCCCGGTGAGTACCTGCATCAGCCGGTATGAAAGGGTTCCGTGACGCCTCTCGAGCCAATCCTCCATAATGGGTCTTACCGCCGCAATAACGGCGTGCCCGACAGTCTAGCCCCCTTGACTATGTACTAAGTAGTGTAAGTACCTACATGCCGCTACTTTCGCAGCACCTGTCATATATTGAGACTAGATAATAAATTTAGGTACTTTATTGTCTACTTTTATCGAAACCAGTTAGGTTTAAGGGATAATTTTATATAACTATAATTGTATATATATGTATGTGTATCTATGTGTATTTATGATGTGTAGTGTTGTATGTGTGTAAATGTTTATGTATATAGTGAACCGTATATATTTTTATCGAACACTTCATATTATGACGTAACCTCTGTGCTTCTTACAAGATTTCTACACTACTAAAGGTGGGCTGGAACCGAATGCCCTGGGCATTAAGTCCGCCTATATACAAAAGTGCATAAAGTTAATTGAATAAAAAAAAATTGCACGTTTACATATAATTAGGCCTATAACACACTTTTCGACAATCTCGCGAGCCAAATCTAAATACATAAGCTTTTTATCTTTTTCAGCTTTTAAGAGATTGTCGTCATTAGGAATGGTAATGTCAACAATCATTGCTCGGCGCTCAAATCCATCTATTACCACTACATAAGGTTTATTGGCAACAATAGTTCCGCCATTTTCAAGAACTGGGTCGGGCATATAATAATAATATAATAGATAAAACAATTGGTCAATGTACTACTGTTATGCCACGCTGGTATACAGTGATTTAAATGATGTATCTTATTGCGAAATATGATACATTTTTGCTAGAGATTGACTGTAGGTCAAATTTCTGCCCTAATTCATGAAGTTTTACATCGACCAGTAAAATGAAAATTCTTAAAACTTTATTCCTCGAAGTCTTTTAGCTGTGATGATGCTGACGATGATGGAAACTTATAATAATGTATATTATTTTAAAATATCCCATACTCATACTCCCATGCTTGTCTGTTACTCTTTCACACTTTGCTGAAGCAATTTTAATTAATTTAAGAGATACATGGGACATTGGAAGGCATACAGGCAAGTTTTGACTCTTTATCACAGCATCAGATTGACAATATCAAGTTGTAATTAACATCAAACACTATGTATGTGGTTTATTATTAGGTTATTAACACAATCAAAGGTATACAGCTATTTAAACCTTATATTTAAAAAAGTGTATATAACGCACAAAATGAAAACCTGTGAGTACTTTTCATGGACCTGAAGTGATGTTATTTGGCGAGACGTAGGGTCTCACTGCACAAGTAAGAGAAAACTCTGAAAGTATATTGTTGGAATATCACATAACACATGTGAGTCAGAGTCGTATTTGTCTGCTTTATAATAACGTTCAATTTAAATACCAAATAAACCTTAGGACTTTTTAAAATTTAAAACAAGTTTTATTGTAAAATAATATACATATATACATAGGTACATACAAACATGAAATAAGTTCTCCTACTAAGAGTCTAGACTGATTATTTTCATAAAACGAAAACCTTAGGTCACTTCTCCCTCGGAATGAAATTGAGTAGCACACCCGGCTTTGGTTTAATCAGCATATGATGTGGATCGTAGGTAAGATTGCTGCACGTGTTTCTCGTAGTCTCCACTCGGAAATTATACAGCAGCTTCGTCATTCCTACACTGAATTGAAGTCTTGCGTATTGTGTAGCTGGTAAAAAAAATGAAGGAATTGTAGATTATAATTATATAGCTAAACAAAAAAAAATATAAACGATATCTTACTATTATAACTATTGATAAAAACGTAATGTTGAAATTCTACGAGAAAGTTAACTGTTTTAAACTAATCACACTTTAAATATAGTATAATAATTTCAAATCTGTAGATTCTGGGAAAAAAGTTTTTGGCTATCCCCTGCGTTTATGTACTACAGACCAAAATTTGGCAATGGATGAGCTTAGAACGGAACGATGTAACGGGACTACTGCTATTCGATTGAAAAAACTATAAGTTTTTGTAATAGAGATCTGAAATGTTACATCAGGGAAGCTTATTTTAATTGGCTCTTAGATGATTAATTGTGTAATTTTTACTGATGTTTCTAGATGAAAGTTTTCCATGTTTGAAATAAATATATTATAATAAAAATGTATTATATATTTCCATACTAATATTACAAATGTGAAAGTGAGCCTGTTACGCTTTTACGCATAAACCGATTCAAAAAATTATTTTACCAATGGAGAGCTACATTATCAGCGAGTAACATACACTACTCTTTACCGCGATAACCTACATGCACGCGGGCTGAGCCGTGGTCTAGTTAGTATATATTTAAGTATTATATATGTAAGTATAATATATGTAAGTTATTTATAATGTTTATTGATTTTCTTTATTCACTTTGTTTTTTATTGTTTTATATGAGTTTTGTGTTATATTTTGTTTACAAGAAAAAAAAAATTTTTGAGACTATATGTTTCTATCTTTTTAATAAGTCACTTACCTAGGCAACCTCTACGCCCAGCACCAAATGATAAAAAGGCACATGGATGATCACATCTAATATTATGTGGTGAAAACCTTTCTGGATCAAATTTTTCCGGTTCAGGATAATATTTTTCGTCGTGCTGAATTGAAAATGGTGAAATAATAACAGTGGATCCTTTATCAACAGTAAGATCCGTACCATCTAACTTTACCCGTTCTTTAACATTTCTTGTTATCACATGTGATGTTGGATGCATTCGCAATGTTTCATCAAAAACCATCTTGAGATACTTCATTTCTTTTATTATCTCGTAAGTTATTTCACCTTCACAGTTGTCCATTACTTTATCAATTTCATCTCGCAATTTAGTTTGTATTACCGGATTACGTGCTATATGATACAATGCATAAGTCATAATTAGAGTGTTATTTATATATCCAGCTATATGAAATACCCATACTTGACCAGCTAACAGGTCATCTGTTATATCAATTACGTTATCTTTTTCACCGTTCATTTGCTTCCTTTCTTGGTTTTTAAGTCTTAAATTAATAAGAACATCTTTTACATTATTTATCATCTCGGAGGAAACAGGTTGTTGATTTAAGCAAGTCTTAAGAATTTGCTTACAAATTTTTATTGTTTCCTGGGTTGTGATAGTTAAACCAAAATTCCTCAAAAGGCTGGGAAATAACAAATCAGTTTCATACCAATGACTATTGATAAAATGTTGGTCTAAGATATTGAACCAGCTAGGTTTATCGGTAAATGTATTAACGTCCCAACCAAATGTAGTGACTATTGATGTAGAGACACCGTACGTAAAAACTAATTTAAAAACATCCTGTTCTGGTTGCTTTGCAGTAACATTTTTAACATAATTAACGAACTGGTTTCCCCGATCGACTAGGAGATGAAATTTATTTTTAAACTTACTTGATGTAAATAGAACAGTAAATTTATTTCTTAGATTCTTCCATGTATAACTATCACAGTGTATCATGTTTTCACCAAAACCTTTTTTGCTGAAGTACGTGCCACGATCGGGAAATAATTCAAAATCTTTGATCAGAATTTGTTTCACTATATCTAAATCACGTATAAGCAAACCAGGAGACGTCATCTGGTATACGCCGACGACTTTTTCTTCAGGATATTGTTTGTAGATCTCATTGTAGTGCAAGAACTTAGCTTTCCTTCTTAATGCAACGTCTTTGAAATTTCCAAAAAGTGGAATTGGCTTTGGTCCTTTTACATTTTTATGTTGCCAGTAGTTCAGCGTTCTTGTAAAGTAGTAATATAATACACAAACAGTTGTTAATATAACATAAAAAAACATACTGATAGTTGCGAATAGAAATTGGTTATTACACAACGTTCATACTTTCGTAAGCAGTATATATGTATATCTTGTTCAATAAAACTTGTGTGTATTGATAAGCTCTGTTTGAAACTGGCGTGTATTTTCTAGAACATTAGGTATTTAAAAGAATGTTATCGTTAAGAGGCATTTACTGATTAGTTTTTTTTCTTTGGAGCAGTGATTCCCAAACTTATTTTGTATACTGCCTAAACTTGCCTAATATTATTTTTGAGCGCCCCCATTTTTTCACCTACTTAAAAACCACTATAACTTCAAAACAAATCAATTAATTATTGTGAGCTATATTAGCGGAGATTAAACATTTATTCTTAACGAGACTTTTACTATAACCCGCAAGAGTTAACTTGAGACCTGAACGCAGTAGGTAGTACACAACGGCGCTCAGGGCCTCAATTCTGCTATTTTATGTTCACGCCAAGCCACTGTCATACCACTGACACGCTATGGAGATGCCATCGAGTGACCATTGGCATCGGTACAAATATCGGTAGTTGAAAATATATTACGTTTTTTGAGGAAATGATTTATTTCTTTTTATTATAATAAATTATTAAAAGAAATAAATAAATTAAAATAAATTATAATTATTATAATTTATTTATTTATATTTAATAATTAATAAAAAAATAAAATTACAAAAAAGAAATAAATAAATTTTTAAAATAAAAAATATTAAAATAAATATATCATTTCATCATTTAAAAAAAATAAATATTATACCGATAAAGAAATATTATACAGCACTAAATCCACGTTCACACAAATATGACGTTGGGAATTCTATCAAGAATCGTTGAACGATTGACCACAATCCAGGGTACAATTGCGGGATCGGTTTTTGTAGCAAAAATTCTTGGTAGCCTCTTTTGAACTTGATTTTTATTTCCTTGTTTGTGGTCAATTCTATAAGTTCTTGTTCCAGCTGAGGTGACATTGCTGTGTTGACATTTGAAAACGGATCTAACACCCAGTCTGGTATTTCCAAGTTCAAAATGTCCTGGTATACTCCGGTGAAGTCAATGTGCTCAGATGATTGCACAATGATCCTTCAATGTTTTCAGCCATTTCATCAATTCGTCTTTGCACAGAAATTTTACTCAAAGGAATTTTTCGGATAATATCTGCGCCCGGTTTATGACGCACAGTAGTTATTACTTCCTTTATTATTGCTTGCAAAATTAACTTTTCTCTGATTTTGTGTGGTTTGCTTTTTTGAGCAATTAACAAGGAGATATTGTACGAAGCTCGAAGTCCGTCGTCATCTTGATTAGCGGCGGCCGAAAATAGTTTTGCTACACCTGGCTGAGTATGCTTCTTATCTAGGTCTTGAAAATATGCTCCATTGTTGTCTTTCTTATCTGGATGCATTTTATTCAAATAACCTTGCAGTCTTCAATGCTTCATCCGAAAATGTTTTTAGATATAGAAGGTACAAAGGCGACTATGGGTTTGTTGGATTTACAATGAATCCGAATTGAATAATAGGTCTTTACCTATAAAATTGCCGTTTTGTATGCAATAAGTGAAAGTACTTATTTTTTCAAACTTTTTATTTCTGTTATTCGAAGCTTTCTGCAACCAGCTTTGGTGAATCGGTCGTCCCCACTGCTCCTTCACGACAACGCGCGACCTCATACTGCGCAACAGACAGTCTCCAAGCTGCAAGAGCTGGGGTTGGAAGCTCTCCCTCATCCGCCATACTCACCAGACCTTGCACCTACCGACTATTACTTTTTCCAAAATTTTGACAACTTTTTAGTGGGTAAAAAATTCAATTCCCGAGAGGCGGTACAATGCAACAAACTCTTCAATGCCTTTGAAGAGTTTGTTGCCTCCCGTCCAGCTGATTTTTACAAGAAGGGCATCAATAAACTGCCAATGCGTTGGCAAAGATGCGTCGATTGCATGGGTGATTACTTCGAATAACAGAAATAAAAAAGTTTGAAAAAATAAGTACTTTCACTTATTGCATACAAAACGGCAATTTCATAGGTAAAGACCTAACATATTCCGCACAGTATTGCCATTTCTTCGACATTGTTTTGCTTTGAGAAATACGTAAGTAAGTGTTGAACTTAAGTACTGCTTATCTATTACACGCGAAACCGAAATGAAATGAAAATAAAATAAATATTACGTTGATTACCTATATAGGATTGCATAACCAGCACGCACCGACAGGAATAAGATAAACATGCATAAACTCGTTTATCTCATTCGACCTTCGATCAACAATAGCTATTATTGATTATTGATCGAAGCATTCGACGCTCAATCGTACTCAACAAGTAAGAACAAGTATTCTATGAACCAGCCGATTGACATAGGAATACACAAATCGGGTTTTTAAACAAAAACTTGTTAAAGCATGATTGCACGCTGTCTATTATCTACGAAAATTACCTATCTAGGAATACTAACTATTAAAATGCGTAAGTGTGTCTGTTGAATTTTTATTTGTTTGTTTGTGTCTACTTTCATTTCGAAGCGGAGCGACCGATTGACATGATTTTTATTTTATTTATTCAATAAAACAGGACAGATATACGAACTACGAGGAGAGAAATATCGAACCGAGTTTGAGCAATCTCTTAATTAATATTAGTTGATGTTCAAAAGTTGTAGTCGAGAGTCGAGAGCTCAGTTGGTGTCTAAGAGTTAGATGAAATTACAAATCGCCCGCTAAGCCTCTACACAACGCCCTCATTTTTTTCTGGGTCTCTTACCGATCCACAAGGGGGGCGCTGCAGGCCAAAAGGCGTTATCGCCAACTTTGGGAAAGGCTGTTTTAGAGTTTTGAGCAATAAATATTTGAGATAACAATTGAATGTATAAGCAAAAAATTTATGTGGTAACATATTTCTAGTGTTCTCATTTTGAGTTTTCTACACAAAAGATAAATCCTAAACTTCGAACAATACTGACACAATACAGCACTAAAAATTAAAAAACAATTACAAAACTAGGTGAAAAAACTATAATAAGTACCCTCAATATAACATGTAACATTATAATAGCAATAGTCCCTTCTAGTATATTTGAAGTTGGTGGTGTTTATCTGAGGATTGTAAAACAGGACCTTTTTTTTCGGATACCACCTATCGGTGGCATGTCGGACTCGAACCGACTAAAACCGCACGCCGTCTCGGGTACTAATAGCCGGGGAACCAGGTATACCCAAGAAAGGAAGTCCCTGGTGCCCCGATGTAAAACAGGACCTAAGTGTAAGATATGTTTGTAATGAGTAAATAAATACGATTTTCAGAATACTACATACCGTAATGTATAGTACTAATCTTATTTATTACTCTCTAGTGCACTTATCTCTGTAACCCCACACAAACACTTAACAAATACCTTGAAATAATAAGCAAGGTCAACACATAATTAGATTTTTGAAATAGTTATTTTCTAACTCCTAAAGGTCAAGGATCCTTCAATATAAAGCTAGAGAAATAAGCTAAATCACGTTGTAGGGGCTGTAAAATTTGATTGTTTCCCTCGTTTTGTCTAGGATCCCATCATCAGATTCTGATTTGGTGGTAATAGGTCCACCTTGAGAGCATACATTTTCGATTACAAAAAGAATTTTGAAAATCGGTCCACAATTGACGGAGATATCGCGTAACAAACATACAAAAAAAACCATACGAACTGATAATCTTCTCTTTTGTGTTTTTGAAGTCGGTTAAAAAGGTTCTTCATTTGTCATCGTGTTGTTTTGTCGTTGTGTTGTTTGCTATTTAAAAAAAAAACCGGTCAGGTACGAGTCGAACTCGTGCACCGAGGGTTCCGTACCTACCCAGATTTTAAGTAGATTATCGCGAAAATTTGTAAGTACCAAAACTTATCTTAATTATTAACTTTTTTTATGTTTTGGAAATATTCCTTTATTTGTGCTGTAAGACTTTTTTTTTACAATTTCGTGATTCTAGGCCAATGGGAAATACCATATGTCGACAAAAAATTTATAGGGTACTTCCAGTTGACCTAGAATTGACAATTTTGGTTAATAGCAAGGTCTTACAGCACAAGTGAAGAGAAAATTATGAAACATAAAAAAGTTAAAAATTAAGGTAAATTTTGGTACTTACAACTTTTCGTGAAAATCGAAATTTGCCCATATTTTTTTAGCGTGTTGACTCAGGACCTTGATTTTTATACACCTAATAGGGACCATAGACCTCAGTATCAGGTATAAATTTCAACTTGCTAGGCCTACCCGTTCCTGAGAAAATTGGTGGTGACACACGGACAGACGAACAGACCGACAGACGTACAGACGGACAGACGGATAAGAAAGTGATCTTATAAGATTTTACATTTCTCGTCAAAATCATTAACAAAAATATTGACTGCCCTGATTTGCTTGAGAAACTATCCTTTAACGTGCCGTCTAGGTCACTTCGCTTTACGTTCCTCATGCTAGAACAAATTACCGGCACAACAGCTATTTGGTGCGCGCAAGTAGAAACATTCATAAGTTATGTAAACAGCATGACATTAATCCCTTCTTTATTAGTGTGTCCTCGGTAAGAGGGCGCCTTAGCCTTAATTTTTTCAATTAGATATAATGTAACATAGTGATAGTGCTTACTCAGTTGCTGTGATATTCGGCGCTTAGGTGCTGTGTGATTAGGTTGAACATTTTTTTTCTCTTTTGTTTGTCTGTCTTTTTCTTGTATTTTTATTTTTATTTTTTTGTTTACACAACTTTTGTTAGTTTGTAACTAGAAGTGAAAACTGGTAATTGGCTCTCAGATGATTAATTATATCATTCTTACTGATGTTTCTAGTTGTAAGTTTTCCATATAAGAATTAAATAAATTCTTAATTACCGGTCTCCTAAATTTTTCATTTATAATGTTGTTAATTGTAGTTTTCTTCTTTTAATTCGAGCATTTTTTGTTGTTTTATTTCTTTTCGAACGTTTTCTAACCTAACTTTTATTTCTT